GATGATGATGTCAAGTCAGTAAGTACGGGTGGGTGGGTGGTTTTCTGGTTCGATGATCCTCACACTTTTACAACAAACACATACACAGAGAGGGGGGACAGAGAATATGCATAAAAATTGAATGAACATGGATGGACATTTGATGGTTTCCTGAATTTTTTTTCAATATAATAGAACAACGATAAACAACAACAACAAGATTGGATATGAATGAAAAAATTTAATTCAAAAAAACCCAAAAAAAATTAATCGATTTCCGTCATATTTTTCCATCGTCGTTGCTAAGAATCTAGCCTTATTGTAATTTTCTTCTTTTTTTTTTGGATAAGAAATGATGTTTTTCATCAGTTGGATTTTATGAAAAATAAATTGTTTTTTTATTAAAATTAAATTTTTTTTTTTAAACAATAAAATTCAATAATTAGATTCTTTATAAAGGAAAAAATGGCAGATTTTCAATTTCATAAAACAATTGAAAATTTTCATTCATTCATAACACTATGGTCGTTATCGTTTTGTGTTGAAAGAATTTCATGACAGATGTTCTTAGTTGAAAATTCTTTTTTCTTAGTTTTTCTGTGAAACAAAAAAAATATGATTTCATAACGATAATCGTTAAACAATTATTTTTTATTTTTTGATAATCGCAATGACGATGAAAACCTGTAAAAAAATTCAAAAAATCGTTATGTACGAATTTACATTATCGATTCTCCGTGTATAAATGAATATACATAGTGTGTGTGTGGATAAATACAACAAAAAAAAAAATTGAAAATTGATTTTACCCATGTTATCAAATATCGATTCTGTTACAAGGTAAATTCATTTAATCAAAGGCGAAAAAAAAATTTCCCGAGAAAATCTTTTCATAATTTTTGTTTTTTCCGGAAAATTTCTCCATTCATTTTGTTTTCTTCGGGTTTAGTTTTTCTTTCCTTTCATTTGTTTACCTGTTCAAATCGAGCGAAAAAAAAAGATATTTTCTAAATTCTGCTTACATAATCATCATTTTGGTCGACAAACAAACATAATCGGATCAAAATAGAAAACATTTCTAGCCAATTTGTTTCGGATAAAAAAATATATTTTCATTTGCAAGGGAATTATCATTTCCACCAGCAAAAAAAAAAGGTTTCAAGATCGCAAAAAAGTAACAAACAAAAAGAAAGTTCCTCAATTCAGACATGATGACCATTGATAATTTATTGATGATGATGGTGGTGGTAACCCTGATGATGGTGGCTAATTAAGTGACAATAGTCGCTGTTGTTAATCAAAAAATAATTCTATTTTGGTGATAATTAACTCATCATTCTGTGGACTTGTTCGACTATTTCGACTCACACATAACATTATTTTAGTCACGTCGTTATTATTATTATACAGTGGAATTCTACGCTGGAATTCTAGAACGGAATATTTTTTCCGGACAAGCAAACATTCAGACAAAGACACTTGAAAATTCATCATTTTCTCTGGTCAATTATTTTATCGATTAAATAATGCAAACCAGAACAGCAACAAAAAAATTTATCAAGTTTTCAAGTCACATTTGTCAGAGTTGGTTGGTTGGTCAGTCAGGAAGGTTTTTTGTTCCGTTTTGAAGAAAATTTCCGGGAATTTTTGTGAATTAACCACCATCGATTAATTATTACAATGATTGTCTATTGATTTGATTGAATTTCGAATCAATCAACAATCGAAACAGCAAAATGCTTTTCCGGAAAATTTCCCTGCAACAAAAAAAAGGAAATCGAAAACCGGTTGAACAACAAAAAAAATGATAATTGAAAAGAAAGTTTATTTGGAAATTCTAAACGGATATTTATGTTTTTGTTTCCGGAAAGTTTCCTTAAGACAAGTAATTATCATTATCACAAGGTGTCATCAATATTGAGTGGGGGAGGTGATTATCATCATCAAAATTATAAATGGAAGACACGTCGTCTGTGGAAGGTTTTCTGTTTTGATCGAGTCAATTAGTCAAAAAAGTCATCAACGATGATGATGGACGAAATAATCGATTTTTGGTAGAAAAAAATCAACCATAATAAGTTATGATGATGATGACAGGTAGTTTCTATTTTTTTTTGATTACAATTAATTACTTTAACTAATTAAACAAAGAAAATATAAAGTTCAGTACTACCTGTCATCATCATCAGTTACCTGTAATTATAATCATCAATTCGAATGATTATTTGTTTCAGAAACAAAGTCAAGACTAATGATTTTTTTCATTTTTTTTTTTTTTTTTTTTCACAATCATCTATTTTCACTTTTACAAAACAGGTAAGGTCGAAATAGAAAGGAAGAAAGAAAAACATTCGAATTGAAAACCAAAACAACAAATGACAAACGTTCGAAATATGAATAAAATCGAATGAATCTTTGTTGTTTGTTGTTTTTTTTTTGGTTTAAAAAAATGCAAATTAATTAATTATTCGTCGTCGTTTTCGTTTTACATTTTCTGTCATTGTGTAAATATTAGGTGAAAATAGAAATCTTTTTTTTTTTGCAAATCATCATCATTAACATATTCTATATTTGATTGTGATGAATATAATTAATGGATAAAAGTTGACAGTAGAAGAAGAAAACCCGAAAACAATTGAAAAAACGACAAACAAACAAACAATAATCGTTGTTGGCAACGATGAATTCTGAATCAAGAAAATCGAAATCTGGAAATTCTGGAAAATGGAAAACAGAAGTAATGTTTTGACTTTTTTTTTCGGGCGAAAATTTATTGTTGTTTTGTTTTTGGGTTAATAAATGTCCAGCTAATGGGGAAAAACAAAAACAATGACCATTTTTTTTGTTTTGTTTTGTTGAATCATTCAAGTTAGTCAGTCAGTTTGTTTGGTTGATTTTAACCATATTTATGTCAAAATGTTTGTGTGATTTTCGGTTGATAATAATTAAATTGGATTGAATTAAAAATGGTGGAATTTTAATTTGAAATGCGAAAAAAAAGATAGTCACACTCAATATAGAGATTATCCAAACGAAAGTAAAAATAGCCACCAAACAAAACAAAAAAGTTTTTCTCTGGCCTGTCAACCTGACAAACAAACAAAATTTGAATTTTTCTGTTTGTTTTGTCACAAACCGAATGTTGATTTGTAACCGGGTAAAAAATGGAAGAAAAAAATCAAATAAAAAAATGTTTGTGCGGATTGCATATCCGGCATAAAGGCGATGATGACAGGACAGGACAGGACATGTCATTTTTTTTATATCGCTGATTAGCGGACAAACACATTACACACACACACGTTTATCGCTTAATTGAAATATTCACACAAAGCTTATGGAAAGAATGAATGAATAAATGAATGATTATTATGATAATTATAATGATAATATTCATCATCACCAGAATCAGAATCAGAATCAGCAGAATTTCCATTCTATACACACACACAGTGAAATCACAAGAGAAAATTGATATGAATTTTTACAGCAAATAATGAAAAATCTATGAACAAACCAAAAACAAACAAAAACACCTAAACAAAATCAGCATCATTCATTTCGTTCATAATGGGAGAAAATTTATGTAAAAATTTTCGGATTCAGTTTTTTTTCGGGATTCTGAAATTGAAATTGAGGTTTGTTTTACGGTTGAAAGAAAAAGTTTCCAGAAATAATGGTAAATATTCCTTGATGATGATAATAGATTTTTCATATTAATAATTTATTTACAAATGTGAAACATTTGTTGAACATAATCATTATCATCATCGTGAAAAATTGAAATTTGAAAAATTCAAAATTATGGATATTTTTATGGTGGTGGTGGTGGTGGTGAAATAAGGAATATTCTCTCGCAATAACATTATCGACAAAAAAATCGAAAACAACTAGAATTTGTTTTGTTGTTTATTGTAATTTTCATCCCTGATTCTGTTGTTGTTTGTTTGTTTGAAACATAAATTATTAATATTTTAATTTCTCAGTCTCGGTTTCTTGTTTGTTTGTTTTTTATTTTGTTTTTTGTTTTGTTTTTTTCAATTCTGGGCTTTTTTCGTGCCATTTGAAACATTCAAATTGTTGTGCATAATGATGTGCTGTCGATGATGATGATGATTTTTGTTTGTTTTTTTGGCCCGAGAATTCAATTTAGACGAAAAACAAGGGAAAGTTCCCGGGAAAAACAGGGAAAAGTTCCCGGGAAGAAATTTTCCGGGAACTTTTTTTTATTGAATAATCATGATAATGGTGATGATTTTTGTTGAAAATTTCAAACATTTCAGCATTTTTTTTACCTGTTATAAATAATGAAAGGATGAATATTGTTTTTATGATTAAATCAATCAATGATGATATGGATGATGACCGTTGAAATATTGATGATATGGATGATGAAAAATGATATTGTTTAATTGAAGCCATCAATTTGGATTGAGTTTGATGATTTTTCGATGGAAAAGAAGACATTTTTTTCACGTTTTACCGTTGCTGTTGTTTTCTCGTTGAGTTATTTCACACAATCACCGACACAAAACACACATGATAATGATATGTTCCAAGAATTTTGTTTGTTTCAGTTTTGTTTTCACATCGGAAAAAAAAAGTTTCCAGAATTTTTTTTCACAAAGTTTTCTCAAGAAAATTTAAATGATGGACAGGAATTTTTTGTTGTTGAAAATCGTGAGAATTTTTGTCTTACTTCAAACAAACAAAAAAAAAAAATCAATGATGATAATGGATGAGAGAAACTTTACCGGAATTCAATAATATGATGATGCACACACACACAGACACAGATGGGTAGAAATAGTCACACACTTTAAACGGCCAAGCACACATATACATAAAGTTCACAAGGTTATCATCATCATCCTGTCAAAATAGAGAAATTTTCCAAGAAAGAAAAACGAAAAAAAAAAATCTTTCAAGTTTGCGTGATATTTTCAAATATGAATGAATATCGTTAATGAACTTTCGCCAAAAAACAAAAACAAATTGCAAATGACGAAAAAATGATGATGAATTCGCTGAATGACGACGACGAAGAAACACACAGAAAACCAATCAATTAAAATTTCAAATTAATTTCAGTTGAAAAAAATTTCGCTTCGGATGATGATACCTGGATCGACTGAGCGAAAATGAATGAAATTTTTCTGTTTTGCTGCTGCTGCTGTCAGTGTAGATTTCAAACCCCGACAAACAAACAAAAAATCAAAATCAAGCCAATAAATATACGAAAAACGGTATTCTCTACTGATGAAAATAATCCTGGCGCCTTTTTATAGCAATTCGCGAGAAAGAGAGAAAAAGCAATAATAATGTGTGTGCGGTACCAGCGAAACAAACGAAACAAACGAAAAAATCCAATAACCAATGTGCGCCCGCACAGCCAATATTGGTTATTTTTTCCTCTTCTCTCACTTGATTTGGTGTGATGGATATTGGTTATTCGTCTCATTTCCATTGTAAATATACCGAATGTGAATTGAAAGTGAATAAAATCAAAGATTGCGTAACAAACGAAAAAAAAGGTTAAAATTTTTTCTTAATATTGGAAAAAAAAAAACATTATCCAAAATCGACAATGTTTACTTTTTACTTTTCGTCGTTTGCAAACAAACAAACAACGAAAATGATTTTCAGGTAAGGAAAATTCAATGCAAACATCAAATAGGATGATGATTGAGTTGGAAAAACAAAACAAAACAAAATGAAATGAAAAATTTTTTTAATTTCTTTAATTTTCTCTAATTTCAGTAAAAATTGATCAATTTTCTTTCTTTCTACTTTTTTCATTGTTCAATTTCAAAATTGTCAATAAGAAACTACTGAATTGACAATTGATGATGGGACTTTTTCAATTTTCACTACACGCACATTAACATTTTATTTATGAAAAATTTTTAATATCGAAAAAATCGATCCCGAACAAAAAACAAACAAAGATTGCATTTATAACGTTTTTTTTATTATTATTATAGATTTTTTTTTTTTTTTTTTGTAAAAAAATAAATAAAAACAAGCGATATTTGGAAAAATAATCGATTGTAAATTTTTATTATAAAAAAAAAGGCTAGGTTTACATTATTCGTCGTTACAAACGAAAAATTTTTCCAACATAATTTCTTTATAATGAATTATACAAGGTTTTTTTGGTTGCTGTTGTTGATTCTGATGATCAAATGGATTGCATAGATGCCAATCAGTTAAAATATCCACATGATTTGAATAAAACATGTATAAATATCGATTATTTACTAAAATACAATCCGGTATTGTTGTTACATATGGAAAGTATTTACAATCTTGATCTTTACCAAATATCATTGATAATTTTCCATTATCACCTGATTCTGTAAGACATAATTTACCGATTTTTGTTCGTTCTGTTTGATTATCACTGAAAAATTCAAATAACCAAATACGATTCGATTTGAATTGTTCGGGCACTGGTTTTGTTGTCAATGTTATCTGTCCAGGTTGTTCTGATTCCGATTGTTGTTGTAAAATTAATCGTTCATCATCGATCCATCGATTACCGACACCATCACTATCGAAATCGAATCTATTCAATTCATTTGCTTCCCATAAATTCAATTTATATGGATTTTTGAATAATTTGGATTCGATTCCAATTTCAATAAAATAATTAGTGGATTTGTTTTTTAAACCAATTTTTGGATGTATAATTAGCATATGATTTTTCGAATTATAAAATGTTTCAATAAAACCCCAACCAGTATACATAACACGATCAAATTCAATTTGAAATTCTTCACAATCATATCCTGCAGGTTTTCTTGGTTTATTTTCTTTTGTTCTGGTTGTTGTTGTTATTCTGTTTGTTGTTGTTGTTGTTGTCGATTCATTATCATCAGTATCACTATTATCATCAGAAAAATGATCATATAATATGAGCAACAGCAATGTAATAGCAATCAATATAAACAAAATTGTTATCATTTTCATATTTTAACACACCAAAAAACACAAAAAAAAAAAAAAAACATCAAACCCAAACACAATTCCCTGGTCATTTTTATACCGCACTTTTCGTGGTCAATCAACCAACCAACAATCAGCTTTTGAAAATCAAAATTCAAATTTCATTTTAAGTTTTTTATTATTTAGTTATTATTATTACAAACAAAAAAATTACCAATAATAATTTCTCTATAATGAATTATACAATTGAATTTTTGTTCATTTGAATCATCAAATGGATTGCATAGATGCCAATCGGTTAAAATATCCACATGATTTGAATAAAACATGTATAAATAATGATTATTTACTATAATAGAATCCGGTTTTACTGTTACATATGGAAAATAATTACAAGGATCATCATCACCATCATCATCAAATGTTAACGATAATTTTCCATTATCACCCGATTCTGTAAGACATAATTTACCAATTTTTTTAGGCTCTGTTTGATTATCAACAGTAAATTCAAATAACCAAATACGATTTGATTTAAATTGTTCGGGTACTGGTTTCGACATTAATATTATCTGTCCAGGTTGTTCTGGCTCTGGCGATTGTTTTAAAATTAATCGTTCATCATTATCGATCCATCGATTACCAACACCATCACTATCGAAATCAAATTTTTTGAATTCATATGCCTGCCATAAATTCAATTTATATGGATTTTTTTCATTAAATATTTCTGATTTTGATTTTATAAATTTAATTTCAACAGTATATTTCATTGGAAATGGATAAGTAGCCATTAAATGAAAAATTATTAATCGTAATTTTTCATTATAATATGTTTCAATATAACCACTGATTTCTGGAAGAGAATTGGAAATATTTTTAAATTTTTTACAAACAAATCCTGGTTCTTTTGGTAACGATTTTTTTGTTGTTTTTACCATTCTTGTTGTTGTTGTTGTTGCTTCGGTTGTTGTTGTCGTTTTTGTTGTTGTTGCTGTTGATTCGGTTGTTGTTGTCGGTTTATTACTATCATCGATTTTTATTAATTTACCCGAATTTATCAACAATAACATTATGATTATAAACGATAAAATCAATATGATTATCACTAATGGTTTCATAGTTTTTTTTTAAAAAAAAAAACCAGAAAAAAAACACCAAAATTAACACTCAATTCTCTGGTCATTTATATACCCCCTTTTCGTTTCAACCAATCAATCAACAAAAACAAAATCAAAATTTAATTTAAAAAACTCGAAAATTTTTATAAAATAACAACAAATGGATATTGTTCAATTTGCATTAGATTTTTGTTGGCAGCCAAATAACCATAACCCTTATCGCCCCATGTTGTATCCCAATTATTTCTAATAATCCAATAATCTACACCTTTTGTATTACTATAACCAACAATATTGATTGCATGATATTTTACCGGTTCACCATTATCATCATTATGTTGAATAATTGTACGGCCACTGTTTTTTTCGAAAAAAGAAAGAAAGAAGAAAATTGAATTTTCAACATTGAATTTCTCAGTTTTAGTTTCGTTTATATGTAACGACTTACTCATAATGACGAAAAGCTTGTAAATCATGAAAACCAATTAAAGCAATAATAGCTGAACGTGTTTTTTTTAATAATTGACGAATTTTTAATGGATTCTCGGGTTCAATTTGACAATAATTTTGTATTGAATAACCTCGGGAATTCAATGATGGTCGTTGACATGATTGTTCCTATTTAGATATGAACAATAACAACAACAACAACAACAAAGAATCAAAAATCAAAGAATCAAGGAATCAAAAATGAAAAACTTACACGTGCAACATATGGATAACGATGTTCCGATAAAATACCATTACGTTGAATATAATATAAACCTTGATCAATAGTATCACCTGTACAACCATGTTTGGATGCACAATCAATCAATTCTTGTTCAGAAAGATTTAGCAATAAATTTTTATAAGCCAAATATGTTGATTCAACCGATGCTATAGTTGCAAATGCCCAACTTGATGCACAATTTCCTTGTATACGTATTGGTGTTATTGTATGCATTGAACGTAAATCAATTTCCCAGGGAATATTTATATTCGGATCAATTTGACAAAAATTTGTTGCTTTGAAATTTCCGGAAATTTTCTTCAAGTTTTCAAATGTTTTTTTGTTCATTAGAAATTGGTTTTCAAATTCTTCCAATGACTAAATCAATTGATTAGATTGA